AAAATCATTCTCTGAAGGTAATGACACCACAAGTACAAAATTTGACAGAAAACTTATGGAATTAAACACATAAAGTTAGCTGTCTTGGCACAATTTACACATTGGAGATTTCATTGAGTCTGAATCCTATTTTAAACCAATGTCATTGTTTCAGTTGACTGAAATTCTTAGCTATTTTGGTATTATGCTTTCCATTCTATCAACTGAGTACAAGAAATTGCCTATTAAACTATTTCATCTATTCTATAAAATACACAAAAACTGGTAATTTGGCCAGTTTTGCACAAATTAAAAAACAACAGTTTAAAAAAATGTCCAAAATAAACACTGTAAACACTCCTGGCACTAAAACAACATTTCTACTGTTCATTAATCATGTCTTTAGACCTGTCCTATATTACACTTACCTTCCATTTTGAACTGATAATCACACAAAAATAGATTTATTCCATTTCTCAGATAAAAAAATATAACCAAGAATGATTTGTCATGGTTTATGGTATCCCTATTTGAACCAGACCTACTAAAAACCCATAAAACAGACTAGAGGTTAGGGGGACCTTACCCTTCCTCAGGAAAAGCAGAAAAAATAAAATATTTCCACAAATTTGAGCTCGCTTTTAAGCTTCTTCTGATCCAGAAACCAACTGAAATCATCTCTACTTCAGCAGTATGTTTACCATTCTATCAACAGGTACCACAAAACAACCAATAAAATCATATAAACCATCCTAGAAAACACCTCAAAATTGCTATTTTAAACCATGAACTGCATGGGGCAGAATTTTTCTTCTATTGTGCACACTCATCACACAAACCCATTCTCTCATATCTAGGCCAAAATTTACCACTCACAGCTTATCTGAGTGAGCTGAGCTCATGTTGTAGAGCGACAAGGGTTAAAAGATATTAATTTTAAAATTATTGCTGTGATTTTAATTGTCATATCACATTTCCAATTTTGTTTTTTGCTGTGTTGATTAGGTATCATTTTCCGGCTTTTATAATTTAAGTTTGTAGGTATATTTTCATGCAGTGTTGGATACTTGTACACAAATAACCCGCACATAGAAGAGAGAAGCTTACGACGACGTTTCGGTCCGACTTGGACCATTTACAAAGTCACACTAACCAGAAGTGGAGCAGGACGGCTATATACAGTGGACCCCCAGTTAACGATATTTTTTCACTTCAGAAGTATGTTCAGGTGCCAGTACTGACCGAATTTGTTCCCATAAGGAATATTGTGAAGTAGATTAGTCCATTTCAGACCACCAAACATACACGTACAAACGCACTTACATAAATACACTTACATAATTGGTCGCATTCGGAGGTGATCGTTATGCGGGGGTCCACTGTATGGGCAGGAAGAGGTAGTGGTGGTGGTAGTAGTAGTAGTAGTAGTAGTAGTGATAGTGGTAGTAGTGGGGAATTAAGGAGGAGGAGCCAGTCAAATACAAAGAAAGGGGAGCACTGCAAGGGAGCTAGGAGCCCACAGAGGGAGAGCAAGTGCACAGAGGTGGGTGAAAGGGGAAGTGGTGAAATAAATAATGAAGGAACAGAAACACGAGACAGAAGAAAGAAAGACAACCCAGAGGAGAAAAAGGAAAGAGGAAATGGGAAGAGGGAGAAAAAGAAAAAGAAAAAAATGAGGAATCAGGTTAAGTCCTGCTCCACTTCTGGTTAGTATGACTTTGTAAATGGTCCAAGTCGGACCGAAACATCATCGTAAGCTTCTCTCTTCTATGTGCGGGTTATTTGTGTATCGTTCCAGTCACGGTATTGTGCCTTTTTTTGTTATCTGGATACTTATAACAGTATAGTTGATGAATGTTACAAGTAAGATAAGTCTTTATACAAATCTTTGGGGGCATTCTATTCATAATACCCATTTACTATAACTTCTTGTTTCTTGTCCTTATGCTCTTGTTTTAATCATTCCAATATTTTATCAGTGATTCTGTATGCTTGAATTTTCAGGATTACGTTTTCATGTGGTACTTTACCTAACACTAGAAATGTCAATACACAGTACAGTATATCACTTTAGTTCAAAAGCCTTGGTCATCATAGATGGATATCATTTCAAGAAATGTGAGCAAGTTTGTTAAGCAAAATTTGCATTCTTTAATGCTATGTTGTGATATCTTGCTGAAGGGCTAAACAGATTAGGTGGGGGTTTGTTGCTGCAAGTCTGCTACACTCCATGAAGACTGGACTCATATTAGTTGATACCAAGTTTTTGAGGTGGACTTCCTTGATTTCAGGACTTTCATAATAATTTTCTTACAGCAGGCTTGAATCACCAACTGCTTTATTTTTATAGTGTTTTTTGTGATTGGATTAAGTTTTCCTTTGGTGTTTTAATATCATTATGGTTTTTATAACCAAATTGCCTATTATATCCTATCTTAGTGGGGATTGACCAACATGGTAAAAAAAAATGACTATTTCACACACAATTTTTCTAAGTATCTCTTGACTCATTTTCAATTCTTGCATTGACCATGGGAAATAATATGTTCTGAAGATTCACCAGTGCAAATACTCATTTAAGCTGCATTGGCTGCTGTCTGTTTAATCAGCTATAACTTCATTATTTTTATCATTCAAGAGTCTTATAGTGTATTTCTTCATTTTACTTATAATACATGTATATACATAAAAAACAATATATACATAAAAAATACTTTGAATCATGCTTGATATCCTGTACCAGCTTATTCTGTCATTTTTGGTCAATCTGGTTTTGTGAGTTGCTTTATTCCAACATCTCATATAGGTCACATTGTGCATTGTTTTGGAATGGTAGGATTGTTTCTCACTGGGTGACTTGGAAAAACTTGTCACGAAGCAGAACATTGTCTCTTAATATGTTATAGTTTGCTCTGTATAAAGTGCCTTCTTTGGCATTTTCATACTGTACTCTATCTTAGAGATGGAATTATTCTTTTAGTAGTTCTTTTTGTTGCATGCCTAATTCATCTAATTATCATCCTTCTCATTTTCCTCAGACTTCTATTTTTGCACTAATGTAAAGCTAAAACTTTGAAAGTTTACTACAGACACAAGTAATTATCTGTTTGTAGCTACAGCAGCATTACTAATGGATATTCAGTAATATTTGCTTAATTTTGCAATATCTTTCCAACATCTAGTTAAGTAATGAGTATGCAGTGTGTTTCTGTGTGACATATGATTTACATTTGCCAGTCTTATTACCATTTTCGTAGAGTAATCTTGGAAACTCAGTATAATTTTCCTTTTCAAAATTGCAACAGTTTTCCTGCACAGAACATGTTTGCAGAAACATCCCTGAACAAGTGACTACTGTAGGTACTTCAAAATTTATTGGTGACGTTATAGAAAGCAATAAAATATGATTCCATAATAAGATTCCTTACCTAAAGCAAACAGTAACCATTGCAATGGAGCTTACTATCATTGTACACACAAAAAAGTGTGAGTAGATAAAATGTGAAAGCTACATTGATAAAAAAAATATATATAAGGGCTAGATGCACTGTAGACTTGTTCCACAAAATTATAGTCAACCAAGGGTCTTTCATGATTGGTAATGCATAAGAGAAATAACCAAGGAAGTCATGGATAGTTTCTGACTATGACAGTGCATCAATCTACATGATAATCTCAGTAGAACTTGAGCAAACTTAGCATTCCAGTTTTACAATTGCCTATAACACCCTGAATTGAATATAGTGGTCTGATCTCCTCTTATTCTCAAAATTTCACTAAAAGGAGAAAGAGTTGGCAACATAATCAGTGTTATTTCAAAATCAGAGGATACTTTATGACCCATAACTAAATATGAGTATCATAAGAACAGGAATTAAAGATAGAGATGCTGTATAAATGCATAGCTGCAGTTTTAATAGTAAAAAGAATGTGGACTTTATCATCAAATGTACATATTTGATTTTTGCTTACAGAGCAGAGATAATCTGACCAAGGCACTCCATACAAATGAAATTTATTGTTTTTCATATTTGTATTATTCTGGGTTTAATTTTGTAACCTATCTTCAGAATTTACGCACCATTAATATATCATCTACTTTTTATTAGTTTTGAATTATACTTTCATTGCTTGATGATAGCATTAAAGTCTAATTTTAGTTTTTACTACCTGTAATACAGGAAGTAACTTCCTTTACTACCCCATTACTTGTGTACACAAACACACAGATGCATGCACACACACACACACACACACACACACACACACACACACACACACACACACACACACACACACACACACACACACACACACACACACACACACACACATACATACACACACACACACACACACACACACACACACACGCAGGGCCAGGAGCTAAGACTCGACCCCTTCAACCACAAATAGGTGAGTACACACACACACACACACACACACACACACACACACACACACACACACACACACACACACACACACACACACACACACACACACACACACACACACATACCACATACACATACACAACACACACACACACACACACACACACATGCACATACACACACACATGCACACATACACACACCCATGTGCACACACCACACGTACACACCACACACACACACACACACACACACACACACACACACACACACACACACACACACACACACACACACACACAGGGCCAGGAGCTGTAACTCAACCCCTGCAACACATATAGGTGAGTACACACACACACACAAACATGCCAAACTAGAATATATATCAGAGTGCTTGAAAGAAACATGCATATGTAGGTATCCTTATTAATAAATGTGAATGTTGGTATCCATACTATTTTTAAAGTATTACTTAAACAGTGCAGGGGATAATCAAATATTTAGATGGAATTCTTAATGCTTAGAAAAACTGCTGAATGCATTATATGTAAAAGTCATCCTTCAGGTGAATAAAGTTAAAAAATATATACAATAGTAAAATATTTTATGACATTTTATCCGTAGGTATACTGTATGGATCCCAGCGTAGCCTTCAGAGTGTGGGTTTAGTAGCTGAAGGAAGAGCAGCCAATCAACAGCAGCAGCAGCCACCAAGACCTATGTCCACATCTCCACCACCATACAGTGAACAACATAGCCTAATCGACAGTGATATTTATGGTAGAATAGGTATGACTCGACATGTTCAAGTTGGAGGAACCTTACCAGCTGGCTTTGGGAGATATCAGAGGGGATATAGTTCCCTTCCCCCATCCAGACGACAGTCATTTGTACCTCAAACAACACAACAGCAACAGCAACAGGCTCAGCAGCAGCAGCAGCAACAACAACAACAACAACAACAACAACAACAACAACAACAACAATTGTCAAGAAGGTCAAGTGTTGTTTCATATACAGCTGGAATGGACAGCAGAGGAATTCGAAGGCCAGCTGCTTCTAATCCAAGTACACCAGAAAAAGTGTTAGACAAAAAAGAGAAATCCAGTAAAAAGGATAAAGACAAAGATAAAAAGAAAAAGGATAACAAAACAGAAAAATCTCCCAAGAAAAAATGGTTTTGGACTTTGCCTTTGCGAAGAAAGAAAAAAAATAAGGATGAATCAACAGAGGATGATGATGGAGGTTTCAAAGCAGCTTCGGAGAAAGGAGCGAGAAAACTTTTGCCTCCAGATGATTCCAGCTTTATTCGCTACCCCTCACCCGACACAGCTTCTTCAGATATGAACTCATCATATTCAAGTGAAATTTCTGGCGAGCAAAGCTACCGGAGTAGCCCATCAGCTGAGGTTTATTATTATAGCCGAAGAGCCCAGCATCAGGTCATGCAGCTTCAGCAGCAGCAACAGGGAGGAGGGGGTATTGGACCACGATCATTACCAACTACACCAGTATCCCCACCAGATAGCAACCAGTCATCATTTGTTTCTGTTAACCCATCACCTCAGAGTGTGATGTCTGATGTAACTGATCTCACAGTTACAGATTTAACTCGAGGACGCCGTTATATGAGTAGAGAGGAATTGTATGCAGCAATGCGCCACCCTCAGTACTACAACTCTCACAGAGGTACAGTGACTAGTTCTACTGCTGATTTTGGGAGTCAGAAAACTACACCAACACCTAGTCGAAGTACTTCTCCTGCTGTATTCGGTGTCAATCCTCTTCCACCATATACTATTAGACCTCAGGTTCAGAATGTTTATGGCAGTTGGCCTCCTGATCAACAGATAAACCATCAACAGACAGGAGTTCCTTCCAGAGACCCAGCAACACATCAGCATTCAATGCCTGATTCGCAATCTGAAGATATTTCACCCACAGCAGATGTTGATCCCCCTGAAGGCTATCAAGATCTAACCAGTGACAGCTTAGGCAGATATGAGTCTCAAGCAACACAAAGTCCTAGTAAGCTAGCAAATGTTCAAGATTCACAACAGAGCCATCTGTCTCAACAAAACCTGCAGTCTCAGCAAAATTTGCAGTCTCTGTCATCCCAACAAGCACAGTCAAATCTCCAAGCTCAACAAACATCACAGTCTACTCCTAAACAGACAACTCTTGGTGACTTTAAAAAAATGATTTTAAACAAAAGTATGAGCTCTGCAGGTGGTAATCAAAGAATTTCAGCTGTGGAAATGTTAAAAGCTTCTCGTCCAGGAATATACGGATACTCGCCACCACCTGCTCCTGTGGTAAAGCCTCCACAGCCTTCACCCTCCCAGACACGTGGAGAAGGAGTAATAATTCCACCCTCCTCCCGAAATACTGCCCGGGCATTACTCTTCCAGAGCCGCTTTGGTAGTGGTAGGAGATTCCGTACACCAAAGACTGAAATTATTAGTACTACCATATTAGAGGACCGTGGTGGAGAGGTGTGTGAAGAGGAGGAGGAGGAGGAGGAGGAAGAGGAAGAGGAAGAGGAAGAAGAAGAAGAAGCAGAAGCAGGAGAGGAGGAAGAAGAGGAGGAAGAGGAAGATGACAGCAGTGCAGGAAGCCCAGAGCGACACTGTCTACCGAGTGTTAGAGGTCTGCTGGCACGTGCTTATAGTGAACCTTGTAGTTCTAATCGCACAACAACATCATCTCCTTCCTCTCCTGTTGATCATTCTGATGAAATTATACATTCAACTCCTAATACTACCCTTGATCAGCCTCCTCAGCCACCAGACTTGTCTATAATCACCTCTGATACTGTACAAGATACAGACACAAATTTAACCATAAAAGATAATGAGACTGATGAAAAGGAATCTATGGAAACAGCCCTCTGACATGAGGCATAATCTAGTCCTAAATAACTGTAAAATGCTGCTCAAGAATTTTATACTTACTCCTGTTGTACCTTCCTTGACTCCTTTTGGGTGATGAGCATTGCTTTATACATTCTGTAGCTGATAATGTATTTTGGATATAGGGTACTTAATAATGTTTAATTTCTTTCCATATTTATATTTATATAGTAATGTGCTTCTGGCACAAAAAAGTATATATTTTCTTGTCTTCAGAAATTTTGTTTAATGTATTTTCATTTTGTTGTACAGTTGTTACAAGACAAAATATCTAAAGTTTCACAAGATGTGCACATTGTCATTTACTGAGCTGAATAATGTTCTTGTATCAGTCTCTCTTCAGGGATCTACTTTTCATGTTAGATAGTGTTTCGTACACACCTTAGCCTTTCTAATGTGACCCTCTCACACTATTGGTAGATGCCAATAGTTTCTGATGGATGGGAAAATTTTTTTTAGTGGGCTGTGCAGGACTTTTCTTAGCGCACCCTTTGACTTCTGCAAGACTGACAAAAAAGGCCAGTCTTTAAGCATGCATGCTCTTAGGGATTTGGAGATATACATGTTCTTATTCATGTGTTCACTACACTACATAGAATATTTAATTTTATTTTGACATCAACGAATTAATTTCATCAAAGTTTTTATTCAAAGTCATGTTAGAAATAATGTTTTCATTATCATTGAATGATGGCAAATGAAATAATTCATAAAATAGGCTTCTCTTGTCTCAGTTTAACATCTTGGACATCATTTTAAATTCACTTTGTCTGACTTGGCCAGCAAAATTGGTGCAGAAATATGCAGTACAGTGCTGTAATAAAATTTAATTTCTGAATAGGTAATTACCCTCAGTGTAGTTATGATTTACAGTAGATAAAAGGTTATGGATATCAATACTACATATTGTTATTGTAGTGTAAGGCAAAGGAATTGAGCTTCAGGTCTTGAAATCTACTGCATCTTAATTCCTGTTCAGCTGCCCAAGGAAATAATATACAAAGGTACTACTTGTCTCAGGGGTACACACTTTGTTGCACAAACTCTTAGTAGTTTGTGTAACTGGCCAAAGTCACATTTTCATTCCATACAACTTTGGACCAGGTAACCTTCAACCATAAGCACAAAGTCATTCATACCATTTTACTTGTAAACTTTATACAAGAAGGAAGGTGGCCAACCAATATCAAGAGTATTTTGCTGATGTATCAGTATTTGTGGGCAGAAGTATTACACAAGAAAATATATAGTTGAATTTCTTTTATGTAGATAAATTTAAGTCTTGGTTATGATCCTTGTCTGTAATAATGGAAGACTTAGTCAAATACCCTTACTTAGCCAAATTTTGATCTCAATGACCTTATTTTTTTTATTTAAGACTAATGTCTCCATTTATACTCAGTGAAGTTCCTGAACATTCCCAAGACATATGCTATTCCATATTCATTGTCAGTTTTAGGTTTTTAGAAACCTGAAAGTTTTAACACATTATCTGAATTAGGAAGTGCCTTTTTGTCCCCTTGATAAGTTCTGCCATTTGTTGTAGCAATAACTTATATCATGTACATATTGTAAATTGATCATACAAGCTTATAGGATAGGCAACTTCTGCCCCTCTACTTAGTTTTTTACTGAACTGTATATTTATGCTTTAGCCATGTTAGACATATTGCGTATTTCTTGAAACTGGTTTCATAAATATGAAGCCGAGATATTTTTTCCAGTCTTTAGAATTTCAATATTAAAGAGCCTGAGAATGACTTAGGCTCTCTGCTCAAACACAGAATACATGGATGAAGACATTTTTGTAAGTAGAGCTTCTTCAGTTTATAAAATTTTTGACATTGTGTAATTAAACACTTTTTAAACAAATAATGGTCATTCCAGAAGAAAGGAATGTTCAATTGCTGTTTTTATTTTACCTGGTCTTGACAGCTGACTGCTGTCAGTTAAGCTGTTATAAATAATATTTAAGTAAAATTAAGACATGCCAAATTAAAATTATATATAGACTTACTAATGGCCAGAAACCAAAAATTGTGCTATTTCATACCATTATTGAGTCTTCCTTTTTAACTATAGTCTGTGAAGCTAACACCAAAGTCAGTTTGCACCTCAGAGGAATCTAGACATGACGTTATGATATTATGTTGTTTATGAGTCTCCATGGGGTTAGCAATAAAGACATGACCTGGAAAAGATGATAGTTTAGCTAAACCTTTATTTATCTTTTTTTTCTAATGTTTATGGTTTATAGTTAGGGAGTTTTATGTAAATTTTACCCTGTGATACTGTAAACTTATGTCTGCTGTCCTCTTAGATATCTACAGTGTATTAATCAAATGTTCCTAATAATGCATCATTGCACTATGTCCATTATTATTATATTAACATAACCTATGAGTCATGATAAATGACATTCCTCACTTAATGGATATTACTGCATTACTGAAACCTGAAACTTGTGTGGTTACGTAACTGATATTACACGTCTTTACTTTGTCAGATCCTCATTGTTTCAGTGTTGTCCTGTAGCCACTAAACTTACACTATAGCCTAAGAAACAAAGTTACAAGAGCATTAATATTTAAATCCTGCCCAGGCATTCACTCTACTTGAACTGATGCATAATTCATCTAGCTTTTTATTTACACTTTCCATTATATTAGTCTGGTATAATATTTATGTGCTTGGTCCCTATTTATGGACATATAAATTGAATTTTTTAAAGAAATTGGTCATTTTCACCAGGGAAAGAAGAGAAGAAAACAGATTAATCATCTCTTTCAAGCTGGCTTTCCAGGACACAATCATTGTAGGCCACTGTTGATGCACTTGCTGGTGAAGTGCTGTTGGGCCAAGGAATTGGAACTACTGTTCCCTTCATTGAATCAGTCTTGATTACCTATCATTTACCAGGTGCTGTATAACCCATAAGGGTTTAGTATTTTCTAATGAATACAATAATGTTATACTGTTGGTGCACTGAATTTGTACTTTTTCCCTACTTTCAAAGTGAGAGCATTGCTCTTCCCAACCTTCAACACTTAATTCTGTCTAGCTGTTTTCCAGAATCCCTGCATAGATATGACCATCCTCACTTCTACAGTGCTTTAAATTCCATACATTTCTATTTACTCTGTATAGCCCTTGTGGCTTAGCGCTTCTTTTTGATTATAATAATAATAATTTCTATTTACTCTGCATCTTGGTTCTCACTAACTGGGGCTTTTCACACCAGGGTGACTGTGGATGTAGTGAATAATTCAGCTCCCTTACATTTGCCATACAGCCATATATAGAAACCAACATTCTCCTTGTTTCTGCTTGTCTAGGAGTTTAGCATGAACCTGGAGCTGCAGTCCTTTGCTGGGCAATACACATTTTTGGTAAGTGAATAGAAGAAAAATGGTAGGTTCTTTACTGAACTGCTAAAACAATCAACCAGTCATAATCATCTAAGGTCAAGTAAACATAAAAATATATGTACTCTCTTGGTTTTGTGACTGCTTCTAGGCTCTTTGATGGTTATATAGGTGTACCTTCAATAACTTCAGAACCATTAGTGCACTGAGTGCCTTCCTTTGTTGGGGTCCATTTTGGGTGGGGGATTCATAGACAATAGTTAAATTTCTTGGTTGTCATCTACAAGTTGTACCACAGACTAAAACTCATGAATAACAGGTCCAGCCAGCAAAAAAAAAAAAAAAAATTGCAGACTAGCACACATTCCACCACTAGATAGCAGAGGAGTGATGCAAGACCAGCAAATTGATTTAGGTGGGGCCAACATTGCACCATTTGTTTTACCTCGTTTTGCCCACCCTGAGGGGCAAAAGATGTCTCATCCATGCAGATGAGGAATCAACAAGGACTGTACTTTTCCCACCAAGGAAAGGAACTGACTTCAAAGGCACAGTAAGGGGTAACATTATGATCTGTTTTCTTGCAAATAGGGCATCCTTGGAATGATTATGTTTGTCAACCAATGACTTGTTAAATCAACTGATGAAGAGACCTAAGCTTTGGCAAAACTCCTCGAAGAGCAATGATCACACTAGTGGTGGGCAAAAAACACAGCTTGATCTGGTAACAAATACCAATCTGCATACTCTACAAAAAGTTGCTAGTGAGAGATTACTTGAAGAATAACACTTCCAGAATGTGACTTGAGTTGGGCATATCAACAGACAGTTAAGTGAGTGTTACCTATAGTCCTTTAGTACAAAATGTCTGTCTGAAAAAAAAAAAAACGTATACAGTGCTCATCCCATTGTTTCAATGTATGGAATAGGTTCTGGAGCTGATTGGTGAGTTTATGATTATCCAACACTCCTTTAACAATATCTAACATTAGCGTAAAATGTGTTGGCCATTTTGGGGTCATAGAGCATATGAAATGAAATTAGCAGTGTAAGAGCTTTAACAGGCAGACTCATAACAATCAAAAAGAAGGGCTAAGGATTCTAGTCTGAACATTCTTCGTGGGTGTCAACATTTGGGAAATTGTACTATCACTGAGACCATAACATTGATTTTTATGAAGGTGGTTTGTTAGAAACTATTGGATGAGAACATGAAGCAGATGTGAAAATACTGGCCATGATGGAAAAGGAAGAAGAGGGAGAAAATCAACAAGAGAACTGGCTCACACTAGAAATCATATGGAAGTATGTATATATTTTATTATGACAGGAAGGGAAGGGCTTTCCTTAAAACAGATCCAAACATGGAGAAAAGCCTTAGCTTGAAACACAGTCTTTAACCCTTAAACGGTCCAAAGGTATAGTATATACATTCTCTCGCGTAGAGCCCCAAATGTATATATACGTTTCCTTTGTCATTCATTCAACATTCGCACGATAAGCCTGAGTCGCCTAGACGAGAGAATGGGTGTGTGCACTCACTGTGCGGCATATGAAAAAAATTGGGGACGCCTGGGTACCATATGCTCCTTTTTCCTATTAAAAAAAAAACATTTTTTTTTTCTCAAAAAATTCGGGGCGCTACGCAAGAGAACGTATATATACGTTTGGACCGCTTAAAGGTTAAAACCTTACAGGGAGAACAACAGACCACAATTATAAATGGGGGAAAAATGGTGCTAAAAGGAAAGTACTAAGTTATTTAAAAAAAAAAATGGAATGGCAATGACATGGGATAAAGGAGGTAGTACGTCATACTGAACCACTGGAAATCTTTAAAAATATATGATAGCTTAAGCACTGAAGATGGGATACCATAAGCAGAGCTCTTCTATAGTTACACACTTGTAGCAGTGTTGTGTGACCCTGATGGGTTTAGCATTTAGTTTTGATTATAATAATACATACATGTAATCACTAGCATGTCTTATGATCAGCTATTCAAAGTAATGCCAGCTACAACTGAAGAGAGGCATTACAAAATAATTTGCCAAACTAAAAAAAAAACTTTATTTTTATAAAGTGTAGTACAGTATACTCTTCACAATGGAGTAAGTGACATGTATAAACTACTATATAGAATGTAGATAAATAGTGTAGTTCAGAGTACTGACAAGTTGATAAATTGGACACATGTACAACACTTGAGTATCTTTATTGAGGAAACGTTTTGCCACACAGCGGCTTCATCAGTCCATACAAAGGAGAATAGTGAAGAACAGGTGGAGTTTGAGGTAATCAGTCCCTCAGCCTTGAGTTGATGTAATCAGTCCATCAATATTGAAAAGAATACAGCATATGTGCAAAGAAGTGGCTTACATATTGTAGACATGTGAGGTGAAGCAGTCATAGGTGGTATCACACATGACAAATCCATATGTGAAAATAGGTCATGAATTATTATTATTATTATAATCAAAAAGAAGCGCTATCTAGGCTGGAATATTGCTGCACTCTAACAGCACCTTTCAAGGCAGGTGAAATTGCCGACCTAGAAAATGTACAGAGAACTTTCACGGTGCGCATAACGGAGATAAAACACCTCAATTACTGGGAGCGCTTGAGGTTTCTAAACCTGTATTCCCTGGAACGCAGGAGGGAGAGATACATGATTATATACACCTGGAAAATCCTAGAGGGACTAGTACCGAACTTGCACACGAAAATCACTCACTACGAAAGCAAAAGACTTGGCAGACGATGCACCATCCCCCCAATGAAAAGCAGGGGTGTCACTAGCACGTTAAGAGACCATACAATAAGTGTCAGGGGCCCTAGACTGTTCAACTGCCTCCCAGCACACATAAGGGGGATTACCAACAGACCCCTGGCAGTCTTCAAGCTGGCACTGGACAAGCACCTAAAGTCAGTTCCTGATCAGCCGGGCTGTGGCTCGTACGTTGGTTTGCGTGCAGCCAGCAGCAACAGCCTGGTTGATCAGGCGCTGATCCACCAGGAGGCCTGGTCACAGACCGGGCCGCGGGGGCGTTGACCCCCGAAACTCTCTCCAGGTAAACTCCAGGTAAGCCACAAGGACTATACAGCGCTGCAGGGCAGGAAGGAAGCGAGGGCATCAGGTGGCAAAAGGGAGATGGATGAGTAATAGGTTACGGATAACAGCGGGGCAGTGGATGGTGAAAGGGTAAAGGGCAGCAAGAGACTGAACTAGAAAGGGCTGAGGGGAGTGCGAAAAGTATCATCAGAGTTTGTGGAGTAAATCAGTCGTTGTCAAGAAGTCAATGAGAGAGTCAGGATTAAAGGAGGGTCCATCAGCAAGAAGGGAAGGTAAAGAGAGAGTAGTAGAACGAAGACGACGTTGGAGGTAAATTCTGCGTGCTCGTTGATAGAGAGGGCAGTCTAACAGAATGTGGCTAATCGATACTGGAACTTGACACTGCTCACAGAGAGGAACAGGGTGCCTCTCCATGAGATACCCATGAGTAAGACGAGTGTGACTAATGCGAAGGCGGGAGAGAGTGGTCTCCCAACCTCGGCACTGATGACAAGAAGACGGCCAGTAACCTATGCTCGGTTTAATAGAATGAAGTTTGTTACCGAGCAGAGTTGACCAACGTTGTTGCCAACGGGTGCGAAGGTGGGTAGCTATTACCTGGAGTTTACCTGGAGAGAGTTCCGGGGGTCAACGCCCCCGCGGCCCGGTCTGTGACCAGGCCTCCTTAGGTCAGTGTCCCAGGATGCGACCCACACCAGTCGACTAACACCCAGGTACCCATTTTACTGATGGGGAACATAGACAACAAGTTGAAAGAAACACGTCCAATGTTTCTACTCTGGCTGGGAATCGAACCCAGGCCCTCGCCGTGTGAAGCGAGAGCGTTAACCACCAGGCCACCAGAGCCCAGCAAAATAGCAGCAAAATAGTCCAGAAATGGAACACCTCGATAGGAAATTGGTAGGTCATGTACTGCTGACCGCGCAGCAGTGTCTGCCTGTTCATTGCCCTGTACGTCGACATGACCAGGGACCCAACAAAAAACAATATCTTTATGTTTGGTAGAGATACGGCGTAGCCAAAGTTGGATACGGAGAACTAGGGGATGAGATGTATCAAATTTTCGTATAGCCTGTAGAGCACTAAGGGAGTCTGAGACTACTACAAATGATGACATGAAGAGATGAAGAATTCCCTGTATTAAGATCCCAAGATGTTGCCGTGTCTGACAGGAATGTAGATAAATAGTTCAGAGACAGCTCCATGTTATGTAGAGCATTTCAAGCAGCCTTATAATTAACTTATAACTACTAGAGGATAATTACTTGAATGCTATAGTGTGCCATATTTGGAATTTAAATACTGTAACAATTTGGTATATGAATTAAGATATTTTGAGATTAATAAGTATGATGAAACAGATTGGTGATTAATGTGAACATTAGTATGAATGCTAATATGATTTGGAATCAATAGGGTTGCTACTGGATACATCAAATTTGGGAGGTGCTTTTTTACATATTTTTGAAGCATGCAGCTTTTGGAAGGAAGTGCCAAAACTAAAACAAACATGAACATTGAGGCACTCTCCAACAATATCCACAGGTGATTCACAATTTTCCACTCTGATCTAGTAGTCATATTCTAAATCCCCTACAAGACATTGGACTTCAGGAAGTCAGTGCTAACAAAATGCAAGGCAATGTACTTGAATAAAACAATTACTTTGATATATTCTAGGGTGCTGGAA